GGGCTGTGCCCCCAGTGCCAGCGAGCTCCCTGCCTGGTCCCCCAGCCCAAGTCCCTTGGTAGTGTCTTCCTGCCTGGCGTCCCTCTGTGGGGGCTTTGCTGCCTGGGGACTAAAGAGCTTCGGAAATCAAGCTTTGCTCCACTCGTAGTTCCGAGCCGCCTGTTGGCATCTCTCCCCGAGAGCCGATCTGGTGGGTGTAAGCCCCTTTCCAGCTGCCACACTCGAGTGACTCCCTTCCCAGGTAGTCTGGCAAATACCTTCTTGCGTGGAGATGCAGATGGTGCTGACAGAGTGTGAAGCCCTGTAAGGCTGCCGCTGCCGGGAGCAGGACGTTGCCCCGGAGTCAATTGCTTGGCCCCACTCCGTGAGCTTTCTGTAAAACACAGAAGAGCCTGTGCTGGGAGGGAGCCATTCCTCCACAAGGCAGGGTTATGACTCTTGGCAAGAAGGGAAACCAGCACTTTGTCGCTGTTAGATCTTCTCCGTGGGCAGGATTGTCCCCTGCAGCCGCGGTTGCATTTTTGTTCCTTTCAGCTGGAGGCTGGACAGCCCCCTGTGGTTTCAGCACCGCTTCCTGTCCTTGGCTACACTGTGCAGTATGTGGCCCAGCAAGTCTAGGCTTGTTGCTTTTCTGGTCTCAGTTGCCTGCGAAGAGACCCACACCCGTATTTAGAGGACAGCACAGTATGTGAATGTAGTGTTTTTCTTAGAGCTGGAAAGCTGGTAGATGCTAAGAGGAAAACCTTCTGCAAGTATGCCTCTTTCACTGCACAGCTGCACTGCCCGAGAGCTGATCTGACAATTCAGAACTTTCCTCTGTTGGTTTTTTGCCACCATAAGCACCGCTGTGGTTAGGAGCTGAGCTAGAAGGCAAGAAGAAGGCTGTTGCCTCTTCTGACATGCAAATTGGTGTCCAGAGGAAAAGGAAGTGCTTAGGCAGTCGGCTTAATCTGCCAGAGTATTTAGCTTCCTGCAGGCTCCAGCCCTTTCTCAGTGCTCTTGAGGCCAAATCAGTAGGAATGTTACTTCAGTATTCACTGTGCATTCTGTTCAGAAGCTGGAGCCTGTCGTAGTTGGAGTGGGCTTGATGAATACCTGAGGCTTTCTGGTTTGGGCTATGACAATCCCAGGCCAAACTTCCAGGCAAGTGTACAGCTTGCTGTACTTCAAATAAGTTAGTAGCTTGCTTTCTTACATTTGTAGTCCTCTCTTGCAGAGAGAAGCTACACAAGGATATGAGGAGCAATCAATGAAAAAATAATAGAGGGAGGGTATCAGTGTGCAAGAGAGGAGACACTGAGTTTTCTTCCCAGTCCCCTGTTTCTGTGCATGTTGAATAAGTGGAAGCTGCTGGTGGGAGTGGAATACTGTAGGTGGGCAGCAGTGTGGGTCATGCATCGTTGAGAGGGAAGACTTAATCATCTGCTGGTCTGTGCCTTTTTGAAACTGGAACTCCCATTCTGTGACTGTTAGACTAGCCCTATTCTTTGCTGGTAGTAAAAATAAAATCCCCCCAAAGCAGTATTATCCTCTGTGTCACTCTGTTTTATTCTCTAGTTTTTGTCATGTGGTATGCAAACAGCAGGAACAAACCTGAAGTAAGTTCCAGTTAAATGCAGGAATGAATGGCCAAGAGGCTGTGACCTCACACAGCATGTTTCTGCAGTTTTCCCCCTCTCTGAAACTGTCAGCACAAACTGCAGAGCATCTGGACAGGTGATGCCTACAGAAGTCCTTGCTGACATAGTATCTGACCTTTCTGTTTTGTTTCATTCTCTGACCAGGCAGAAGATGGGAACATCGAGTACAAGGTGAGCCATTTGAGGTTGCAGAAGGAGGTCTTCCTCATAGAGGGTTATTTTGCAGTGAGTAACTTCACCAAAGACAGTGTATGGGGAACATGTCCAGGGAAGGGACAGAAAAGTGGACTTTGTACTAACGAGCTATAAGTCATCTTCTGTGTCTGTGACTAGCAGTAACCAGTACACTGAGCTGGAAGAGTTTGGTCTCAGTACTCGTTTTTAGAAAACTGCTTTAGGAGATGAGATCCACCATGGTTTTCCTGAAATCCTCTTCCTTTTGAGAGAGCTGCAGATGTTCCTTATAATAATTTGACACTTCCTTGTGGCTCTTTTACCATTTTCACTTACTTGACTCCTGTGTCACTGGTAGGTCCAACAGTGCCGCCTTTAACCCCTCAGCAGGCAGGGTGCAGATCTCTTTGCCAAGATGTGGTAAAGTGCTGCTACCATATGTATGTGCCTTTGTGAAACCCTTTCTTTCTTCCCTGTCCTGAGACTTGTGTGCAGACACTAACATGGGCTGTGTTTTCCGGAGGTGGGTCAGAGCTGGAGGCATTACTTACTGGTGTCAGGTTAGAGAGCTGCTGGCTTGGGCAGCAGGATTCCCTCTGCATCCAGGCTGTGACTGTAGCTACTCCCTCCGTTCAACAGCTGAAGCTCGTGAACCCCTCGCAATACCGCTTTGAGCACCTGGTGACGCAGATGAAGTGGCGGCTGCAGGAGGGCCGAGGCGAGGCCGTCTATCAGATCGGCGTGGAGGACAACGGGCTGCTGGTGGGCCTCTCGGAGGAGGAGATGCGCGCCTCGCTCAAGACGCTGCGCCGCATGGCAGAGAAGTACGTGCTCTCTTCTATCTGCAGGGCCCACAGGCATAAACAGGCTCCAGGAGAGAGGCTCAGCCCCAGGAGTCCCCTGAGAAGCTGGTGGCTCCATTCTGCGAAGTCCCTGTATGACTGAAAGGCCCTCATCATGAGGCTCTGGAAATACAAAGGCAGTGATAAGGTTTTTGACTGGGGGCTCCTTCCTGGCTGTTCCCAGCTTTCATTTCATTCACTTTGCCAGCTGTGATTCTAGAGGTATGAGAGCTGCCGAGTACCAGTGTGTCTGACTCCTTCTTTTCCTGTGTGTGGCAGGGTTGGGGCTGACATCACGGTACTGCGGGAGAGGGAGGTCGATTACGACAGCGACGTTCCAAGGAAGATCACAGAGGTGCTTGTCCGAAAGGTGCCTGACAACCAGCAGGTAGGGACCTGCAGCTTGGCCATCCTCTCCTGCCGGGCAGTTAGAGACTTCATACAGGCACCTTCCTTTTTGGATGGGAGCCCAAACCCTAGAGGCACTGTGTCATGGTTTGGCCCATTGCAGATCCTATAAAGAGCTGCCAGAGGGAGGCTTGATGATAATGCTTTTTATCTCCAAGATAGTGGTTGAGCAGATACCAGTAAGAGAGATTGTCTGGGATCAGAGGTGAGAAATAATTTCACTTCTACAGCAACAGTTCTGATGCAGGCCAGTGTGCAAACAAGGAAGGGTTTAGAGTTCCTGCTGCAGCAAATGATTTTTTTGTGGTATCAAAGCCTCCTGTGTGACATCACAACTCTGGAGAGTGTATCTGGAGAGTGTGGTTTGCTGGAATCAAGAGCAGAATCTGAGCAAGATTACACTGCACAGTGTCCATTGTGGAGGGAAGCTCTCTGAGGCCCATCTCCATTGTCATGTAGAGTTCATACACACCCAGCACAGCAGTGGTTAAGCTTAATGATTTCTCTGTTCTTCTTCCTGAAGTTCTTAGACCTGCGAGTAGCTGTGCTGGGGAATGTGGATTCAGGGAAGTCAACCCTCCTGGGTGTCCTAACACAAGGAGAGCTAGACAACGGACGAGGCAGAGCGCGCCTCAACCTCTTCCGTCATCTCCATGAAATTCAATCAGGAAGAACATCAAGCATCAGCTTTGAGATCCTTGGCTTCAACAGCAAAGGAGAGGTGAGGGAGTGCGCTCTGGGTTCAGAAAGCTAGGAAGATGGGAGTCTACCTACCTAGTATAGGACTGCCCTCTTATTACAACTGTCAGTGGGACATAAGGGAAGAGAAGTGGCACAGCTCTGTGTCCCTTTAGCTGAACCTGAGTGCTACTTCTCTATTTGCAACAGGCATCATAGCTTTCATCCATGGTGAATGATTGCTCCTCAGTAATTTTGAGGTCAAAGTGGATAGATAAGAGCAGGGTTTTCTTCATTTGCCTGGGGGGCTCCTTCTCTCACCAAGTCCTTATGTTCCTCAGGTGGTAAATTACAGTGACTCCCGAACAGCAGAAGAGATCTGTGAGAGTTCATCCAAAATGATCACTTTCATTGACCTGGCTGGCCACCACAAGTATCTGAAAACAACCATCTTTGGCCTTACCAGCTACTGCCCAGACTTTGCTATGCTGGTGGTTAGTGCCAACACTGGCATTGGTGAGTGTTGCTCTGCCTGCATGCGTTGACAGCAATGTGTGAAGAGAAATGGAGAATAGTGGGGTGGGTCCTTGTTAGCTGGGGATGGTTGTCAGAAAAAAAATATTAGTCTGGAAGCCTCTACTGATTTCTTGTAAGCCAGTGCCTGGGAGGGGAGCAGAGCTGGGATCCTCTTACCAGCTGTAGATCGCATTAATCTGTACCCTGGACAGAGAGGCTTTGTTTGAAATTTGAGGCTGTATTTGTCAGGAAAAAAAACCCACAACAAAACAACTTTGACATAGTCTTAGGGTTGCAGAATCCTGAAGCCCTGTAAAAAGGCAGCTGGAGTTCTCTCACATTTTTCCTTGACATTTTTGTGGCTGTTTTCTGTCAAACTCTAGCCTGAGAATGAAAGCTACCGCATCTTTCTGAAGCATACAGATCTGCCACAAAAATTCTTGGCAGTTTTTATTTTTCTGGATTGCTGTTTGGTTTTGTTAAAAATAAAAATTTTACTTTTTCATTGCCTGGTGAATTAAGTAGTTAGGATGACACCTCTAGAGTGGGCCTGTGGGAGAGCCAGGAGACATAGCTATCCCATAAACAAGCAACAGTGGCTTGTGACTGCTACTGAACCTACACTCTCATTTGCTTCATGCAGCAGGCACCACGCGAGAGCACTTGGGTTTGGCCATGGCCCTCAAGGTCCCCTTCTTCATTGTCATCAGCAAAGTTGACTTGTGTTCAAAAGCCACTGTGGAACGGACAGTGAAGCAGCTGGAGCGAATCCTGAAGCAGCCAGGCTGCAACAAGCTCCCCCTCCTTGTGAACTCAGATGATGATGCTGTTACAGCAGCTCAGCAGTTTGCACAGTCTCCCAAGTAAGGGACAATTTCTTTTGTCTGTTGGGAATGGGGAGTTCAGAGTGGGCTGCTGTGCAGAGCTTGGGTAGGGTGACCACAGAGAAGGCAACTGCATCTTGAAAATCTTGGCTTGTCATCAAGTTTCCTACCTTTGCATCCTCTAGGAAGGCATTTTCCTCTCCCAGGCCTTTTTACTGGGCTCTGGGAGCAGAAGGCATCTGAGGCTACACTAGAGTTACTCATCCATGACAGAAGTGTGGGTTGGCAGGGGATTGATGCCTCAACCAACCACTGAGGCAGGGGTTACTATAGACTTGTACCTAGCCCATGTGTCCTCTTGCCATTTATCACTGTAGTCTCTTGTCAGCTTGCCAGACTCAGTAGATTCAGCATCCCAGCCACTTTCTGCAGCTGCACTTTGGCCTTCTGCTTATTCCTGTCTGTTTGTGTCTGACAGCATCACCCCAATCTTCACACTGTCCAGCGTTTCTGGGGAGAACCTGGATCTCTTAAAAGTCTTCCTCAACATCCTCCCTCCACTAACCAACAGTAAAGAGCAGGAAGAACTAATGCAGCAACTCACAGAGTTTCAGGTGTGTAAGGATAGTTTGGTTCCAGTTCTGGTATTGCACTCATTGCTGTGACATATGACAAACATCTGGGAGCTCTGGACACCATGGTGAACTCCTGGACTGTCAGGAAGCATTAAAGGAAGGACTGACTCCTTGGAAAAAAGCCTGTTAGGCTGTTTTTATCCTGAGATGTACATCTCATGGTTGCCATTTAAAAGGCAGAGGTTCCTCTAATGTGAAGGCAATGGGCGCTGGTTAAAGCTCAGAGATGGTGTCTGGTGACCTGAAAAGAGCTCACCTCCCTCCACGCAAGGGGTGGGCACTGTGTTCTCTTTCTGGAATGCTGTTTCACAGCTATCTGAGCAGCTTGTTCTTGTTGCCTTTCTGCAGGTTGATGAAATTTATACTGTGCCAGAGGTGGGGACTGTTGTGGGAGGAACTCTGTCAAGGTAAGTGAGGTCAGGCAGACAAAAGTGGGTGTGGAAATGGTTCCTAGAGCTTCCACAAGGTTAGAGTCACCCACTGCAGGTGGAAGCAGTGTGAGTCTCAGTCCTGACTGCTGCCAGGTGACTGAGCCAAGTGAGGGTAAAGCCCTACAGGGTGTTGGGAGGTGCTGTGAGCAGACCATTGGTCATGTTTGGCCATCAGCACATCCATGCAAAAACAGGTGTTGGCTGGAGTGTCTCCAGCAGAACCATCACAGGGTGGCAGAGCATTGAGCCCCTGTCTGGGGGATACTTGGTATTCTTAGGACTGATAATGTGGCTTTTGCTCCTACTGTAGGAAATCCCCTTTTCCACCAGCTTTACCCCTGTGTTAGTCTCAGGTAGGAGTCCAAGGACACGCACCTCCTTGGCCCTGGGGAGCTTGTGCAGGTTAATCTTGGAGGGTGAAATTTCTTCCTTGTCTCCTGATGAACTCTATCCGCTCTTCTGGGCAGTGGGATCTGTCGAGAAGGGGAGAACCTGGTGGTTGGTCCGACTGACGATGGGAAGTTCCTCCGCCTGAAAGTGTGCAGCATCCAGCGCAACCGCTCGGCCTGCCGCGTGCTGCGGGCCGGGCAGGCAGCCACGCTGGCCCTGGGGCCCTTTGACCGCTCCCTGCTGCGGAAGGTGGGTCTTGCTTCTAACAGGCTCCTCTTGGGTCCAGCGAGCAGGACTTTGCTGGAGATCCCTATTGGTAGGGTGGGAATGAGGTAGAGCTGTTGGCAAGGAACTTGCTGAAAGGGAAGGAAATTACCAGACTGTGAAGAAAGATGAATGTAGGGTTGAGAATGGGATGCAAGCCCAAATCCTGAAGTGGAAATGTGTTTGTGATTTTGGATACTGTTCAGAAGCAAGGGGGCTGGCCCTGACTGGCTGAAACTTTGGGTTATTGTGCAGGGCATGGTCATGGTGAGCCCAGAAATGAACCCCACCATCTGCTCCGTGTTTGAAGCTGAGATTGTGCTGTTGTTCCATGCCACGACTTTCCGAAAGGGGTTTCAGGTGACGGTGCACGTAGGAAATGTGCGACAGACTGCTATAGTAGAGAAGATCCATGGAAAGGTAGGCATGCAAGGGAAGAGGAGAAAGACAGACCTCCCTGGGGGGCTTGTTGGGATTCCACTATGCCTCCTAGTAAAGCTAGGGCTACTGGTATCTTCAGTAGCTCTGTCCCTTCCTGGGAGCACACTCCACCCCTTTATGCTTGCCTATTTGATTTTCTTCCCAACATGTTAAGGAATTCCCTCCTCACAAAACAAGCCACATGATGGACTACAGCCAGACTGTGAAGGGAGATGAATTCTCCATTCTCCAGAGCTTGTGTGTTCCTGTCTCTTTATTATGAATACAATGATGGGAAGGGCTCAAGCCATGAATTCTGAGGGAGGCAGCCTGCACATTTAGCTCTTCTTAACTTCCACGCGCACTTCCCTTGCATGCATTGGTATGGTAGATGAGTCTAAACTCTCCCCTTTTTCTCTTCAGGACAAGCTGCGGACAGGAGAGAAGGCAGTTGTCCGTTTCAGGTTCATTAAGCATCCTGAATACTTGAAGATCGGAGCCAAACTGCTTTTCCGTGAAGGAGTCACCAAAGGCATTGGCCATGTCACTGATCTCCAAGCCATCACCACCAAAGAAAATGGCCTGGAGGAGTCCCTGGGGCCTGGACAGCTGAGCTTCTGACTACCACTAGATCAGAGAGATCTCCATTCACCAGCAACCGGGGAGAAGGATGAAAGCTCTCATGGCTCTCTGAGTAATGCCTGGAGCTGCTGCTGTCCCGTTCTGGTGTGGGTATCCCTCCTCCACACTGTGAGATGGAGCCTGAGAGAGTTTCTTGCATTCAGTGCCGTACATGGGGCAAGTTAAGCATGCTCTCCACATCGCGTGCTGCTCTTGTTACCCTGCCCTCCTTCAGAATAGATCAGAGGCAGACCTGGGCAGACAAGTTCTGGCTTTGTTTACTGTTTGAAAATCACTGGTTGGGAGGTGCAGAACCCTTGAAGACCAGCATGGAAGTTTTTCCATCTCTGATACAAGATCTGGTCCCATTTCTGCTCTTTGAGCACTGGGTTGATAATCCTCTCTTGAGTCATCCTGCAGCCCATCCCTCTGGGCAGGGGATGGAAGAGGCCCCGCTGCAGGGGCCTGGTTGAACCTCTCAAAATGTGTTCAGGACACTTTTAAACCGTTTTAATCTTGGTTGGCTTTAATCTGCTGTGTGTCTGTTTGTGTGTTGGTTTTGCATTACTCCAATCTGAGTGTCTTACTGTTGGACGAGTATCCTATTCCCCACTCACACGTACACGCTCCTTCAGCATCTTGCTTTCTGACTCCAGGAAGCTGTGGCTGCTCCAAGTGGCCGAGCCCTCCGACATGACGGCATGAAGGCAGAGTTTGGACTTGCATCTGTTCCTTGCAGCAGCTGGGCAGGAGGCCATTCTGTGGGGCAGAGCGGGGCCTGGGCCTGTGTCTGTGCTGGCACGTGCAGGTTGTCTCCGTGGATGTTTGGCTGCAGCTGTCACCTGCATGTCAGCAGCAGTGTTTTGCAGTGGGCTCCCTGGTGTGGCTATTCCAGGGCCCAGCCCACCTTGCTCCTCACATGTTTGCCTTCATGTGTGAGAAGGGCAGGCTGTGGTACTAACAGAACCAGGGGACTTAGATGTGATTTGACAGTGGCGTCTTTTTATTTCTGTTTCTCCTCAAGAAAGACTTATTTTCTTTCCCTTGCCACTGGAGTTTGTTGGTAGAGGAAAGCTGGTGTTGCCAGCAAAGGACTTTGTGCACAAAGAGTTAAGCACATTTGTCTCCCACTCGATGTTGTGCAGCTCTCCTGTGTGACCATTGCTCCAGGCTACTCACAGCCTGGGGGGCACAGCAGGGGCTGTATAGCTGTACATAGGCTTTTGGTTGTATCATTGACTGTTAGACCATATGTGTCAGCTGTGAGCAACAGGCCTTCAGCCAGCCGTCTCATGGTGTGGTGGCCTGCCAGCCCTGACGGAAGAGAAAGGCAAGGGTCTGTGATAGCACTTGGACACCCAAACAGCCCTTCTACCATCCTGAGAGCGAGTTCTGGGCTGCTGGCTGCTGAGCAGCCTGTGCTGATCTGAGGATGTGAGGTAGTTGGTGAAATGGTGGTATATGAAGGGATCCAGAGGCAGCTCCAGAGTGATCTGTCCCTTGGGGGAAGCACTGGCCGAGCTGAAAACTCTGCTTCTTCCCCACCAGCCCACCAGGGAGACAGGAGCTCTTTCTTCCCTTCCTGGCAGTGGTCTGGATTTTATGGTGATGTGGTCTTTCACCCATGCCTTGCAAGAGGGGCAGGCCCCAGCTACCAGCAGGTTCTTCCCTTCAGTGCTAGTGGGTCACAAAGAAAGCTGCCTGAGGGGTGGAGGGGATACCAGCTGTTTACAGCAGTCCTGGTGTTTTCTGCCCCAAAGCAGGCATGGGATGTTGTGACCTCCTCTGAAACAGCTGAAGTCAGTCTCACCTCATCCCTGCCATCTGTGGCATGACTGTTCTTGGTGCCATGCTCTTCATAATTGCTGTTTTGTTGTCTTGAATTTTTCTAATGCTGGGGTTTGTCCCTGTTCCCGAAGCATCTATATATAAATGTACAGAATAAAGATGTTTTATTGAGCTTGCTGGCTGAGTTGTAGAGCGAGTGAGGGTGAAGCTGAACTCTTGCTCTGCTGCCCTTGAAGCTGGGTCATGGTTGGAAAGGGCTGCCCTTCACCGCTTCCTAAGCTTCCTGCATTCAGCCCTATAAATACCTCCGTGTGGTGTGGAAGGAATGCAGCCACGCTGCTGTTTACAACCGGGCTCTCCCAGCTTATCTGAGTGAGCCTGGGTGTGCAGCCTGGGGTGACAGGCAGCCACGTCACCCTGAGCAAAGCACTTTAGTCTGTTGTGGGCAGAACAGGCTGCGGCAAGTGCTTCCTCGCAGCCACAAATTCCCCCAGAGCCTAATTAAAGGGATGTTTTCTAGGGCACACATTTAATCAGTGGTTTGTTATTTTAAAATAGCTTTGACCTTATCAAGAGGCTTGCAACTGCCTTCTCTCCATGAGAACAGGTTGTTCCCTTGGGACAAGCAGTGCCAGAAGTGCTTCCCTTAGGAGGCAGCTTGTGTCACTGAAGGGATTCACCTGTTCTCAACTTGTTTTTGTGTCAGGTAGTGGCATCGGCAGAGTCTGGTCCTGCCAGACATTTAGGAAATGAGACGTGCTGCTGTCACCGGAGCGTGAGGCAACCCTGCCAGACTGGTTACTGTTTCTCTTTACATGAGGACGTTGGGAAACCTGTCACTTTGCATTGTGAGGACTGTCATTAATGGGAGTGACTCCTTAATTCCTTCCTCTGCTGAGTGCCAGGAGAGCTGCACGTACCAAAACAAGCTGCTTCTGCTTCCTGAAATCTTACGACTGCGTTGTAAAGTTAGGCCCCTGTAAAGTAGCAGTAAAGTAGCAACTTCCCAGCACAGACTGTCTGCTGGAAGAGCAGCTCAGCAGCTCCAAGTAGGATGGTACAGTTCAGAAAAGAGGGCGAAACAGCACACGCAAATACAGCTTTACTTTGCGTCTTTAGCTGCCGTCTGAAGGCTCTTTTCCCCCTGCCCAGGGAGGGGAAGCCCGCGGCTGACGAAACTCGCTGCAAGTGTTCCCAAGCCCCACCCAGCGCCTTGACGTGGCTCGCTCCTTCCCCCCGCCCGAGGAACCGACTTCAAGTTATTTTGACAGCAGCACTGCTGGAAGAGGAGGGCGGGCTGCAGGCAGCTAGTGGTATAGCACGGAGCTGAGTCCTGCCGGGCAGCTGAGAGCAAGCACGGCTCATGCCCTGCACTCCACTTCCCCCCCCCCACCTTGATATTCCGCTTTGTTGGCTCTGCTGTAATTTGTGGAGCGCTGGGGCAGCCACTCTGCTGTGAACTGTGGCCCAGAGAATAATTTGGCAGAGCACAGGCAAACAGATACCTCTCATCAACTTGTGTGTAGTATCACCAGAGTCTGGGAAGAAGAAAATATGGTTACACAGTCTTTCTGGAGGAAAGCTTTCACAGAGGGCTGTGTGACCCTGGCACCGTTCCCATCCCTTCCATAAGGACAGTCAACTGCTTATGTCTCAATAGCAGTTAACAGGAATTAGTGCTGAGATGTCAAAAAGCCCACCAAAAGGTATGCAACTGCAGCTTCCTCAAACCTTTGACAGGAACAGTCTTTCTTGTGTTGTCTAGAGCTGGTCATAAGCATCACACAATGGACTGCTACAGAGGGAATTGCCAAACCATCTCTAACAAAAATCCTGACGGTGAGGGAAATAAAAATCAGCATCTTCCAGGTGGACAGGGAAGAGGAAATCACAAAGCTAAGCTACTATTCTAAGTACTAAGTTACACAGTAGGAGCAAGGCCTGCAAACGCAGTCAGAAAAGAATCACCATGAGGTGAAGGCTTCATATTAAGTGACTGGACATGGGTTCAAGCCTAGACTTGGCCAGCATTTCCCTGAGATAAGCCACTGTGCTTTCATCCCTGCTTTTACAGCAGGAACAGAAAGCTGTAGGAACAGAATTTCTGAGCAGTGATGCTATGGAAATACCCATGGCAGAAGGTGTAGGTGACAGTTCAGTGCAGCTTCTGGTAGCACCAAGCAGGCAAGAGGCAAGCTAGCTGCCACCAGCTCAACTGGGTATGTCCAGCATCATAAGCTATTCAGAGGCTCCAGTTTCTCAGACTTGGAGTAGAGATAATTTATTAGATTTTTCTGCATTAAAACCTGACAGGCAGTATAAAAACTTGTAATCATATCTAAAAACACTGATTCTCTAAAAACAATTATTATCTAAAAATACCGATTATCTAAAACCACTGATTATCTAAAAACTCCCAGAGTTGGGAGCTAAGGAGGTAAGCGCTTGAAGAAAAAATCTAAAGTTCTTGTCACACCCTCTCTGGGTCGTTTTGCACTAGATCCTGCTGGAGTCTTGGGCTTGCTCTTTGCCAAGGCAGGAGACCTGGAAGCTGCAGCCTTTGGGCTGGAAGCTGCTGCTGGAGCTGTAGGAGCACTGGGCTCCAGGAAAGAGCTTTGCAGCTCCAGAGCAAAGTGGTAGTCCATGTGCTCTGGGAACTCCCACACCAGTACCAGCTGCCCGCACTTCTCGCAGGGCTGATGGTTCCCTGGTGAGGTGGGCGGGAGTGGGGCAAGCTCAGGAGAAGGTGGCAAATTCTGCTCATTCCCCTCCATAGCTGGATCTAATTTCATAAGGGTCCTAGAGCTAGGTGGGGTCGAGGGTGTTTCTGTAGCATCAGAGAGAGACTTCTCATGGAGAAGCCTCTTGTAAGGAAAATCAGGACTCCTATCTCTGGGACTCTGCTTCACAGGAGACTCCAGGTCACACTGCAGAGAGGCAAGTCCAACACCATCACTCTCTTGGTGGTCTGGGGAGCTGGGACCAGGTGACTCTGCAGAGGTGGCAGCAGGCAGGCTGGTTGCTTCTGTTGTCTGTGACTGCTGCCTTTCTGATGCCTTTTGGAAGAACGACTCAATAGCATTAGCTGGCTTCTGCCTAAGTTCTTTGCTTGGGCTCCTGAAGAATTTGACCTTGGGCCTCCTAGAAGATGTGGTGTTTTGGCTGTTGGTGGCAGTTCCATCAGTCTGGGTATCACTTGTCAGGAAGGTGGCAATGCCTGCAGAGAGGGTGGCAGGCTCCGAGAACTTGCTTGCTGAAAGAAGCACTGATACGAGTGGTGGAGACCTGCAAAGGACACAACAACATCAGGTCAGACATCAGCCTGGGAAGCTACAAGTTTTTTGGGGTAAGACTTAAGGCAACATAAAATGTTCACAGAGAGATGATAGGGGAACTGCGATCCAGGTATCTGGCAAGGGGAGGGAGAGCTGTTTCCTCCAAAAAATGATTGCTACCTACAGAACAGAACCTTGCAGCTCCAGCTGATGTGGGGCCAGGAAGAGGCCAGGCTCTCACAGCCCTCCTGCTGCTAATGAGCAGATGCTGCTGCACTCCACTGTGTGTGCGCTGAGGAGCACTTTTCTTAACACTCTTGTTCCTTCCCATCAGGTCCCTGGCTTCACCCTGCACCTCCTCCAGCAGAAAAACCCATGTCAGGGACATGAACCACTTCCTCCCGCACTCACCAGGCCGCCTGGTGTGCCCCAGCCATGTTGCAGTTCTGGATGAGGGTGAAGGCATCACTGCACATCTTCTGAGCGTCATAGCGGGTCAGAGCACAAAAGCGTGACACCCGGGCGTCTCCTTGCATGTGGATGACCACCATCAGCTGCCTGGCCACTCGGTGGTTCTGCAGAGAGAAGAGGTAGCTGAGTTTCAAGTGACACCTGCAGGAAGGAGGGGGCAAGGCAGAGGAGATGGGCTGGCTGCCCAGAAACCTGAGCTATCAGCTACCATCACCCCACGATGATGCTGTGTGACAGATGGCAGCCTGTCCTTCCTGCTCTGATCTCCAGTGATGAGATACAGGATACCACGTGCTTGTACGCCACACAGGGTGGGAAGAAGTTAGTCCTTGCTTTCCTTCAAAAGCAGCTGTGCACCTTTTCTTGCCACCCCTGCAATCTATCTCCCCCTGGCCTGTTACAACCTCAAATTCCATGCAGATTTGAGCACACTGCTTCCCTCTCACAGCCCACAACACAGGCAGAGCTGCATTAGCAAAGGGCTTCCAAGGAAACAGTAGTGCAGTGGGATAAAGGTGTGGTGAGGGCTCTCAAGTCCCTGCATTCTAAAGCACAGGACAAGGACCATCCTTAGCCCTGCAGTGTTCTGGGGCAAAACCATCCCTCCTGACCAGGGTCCCACACACCCTTCTCCTTGGAGCACCTCAGCACACAGGCACACACCTGAGGGTGAGCAGATTTCTTCTCCCACCACACACCACCCTCAGCCTCCCACAGACAGCTGACAGTGTAGATACACTGCATGGCTTCCTAAAGGCCAGCAGGGAGAACGCTGTCCCTGTGCCTCTCCTCCTTACCTGGCTCCTGTCCTTGCTCAGTCTGGATTCCAGCTCCAAGGCCAGCTGCAGGAGCCAGTGTTGCACCTGGACAAAGGCAGCAATAATAAGACGGGTTGAGCCTCTGCCCAGGTTGGCACAGCACTGCCACCAGACCAGAGCAACACTCCACACACCAGGGAATGCTGGAGGGGGATCAGACTGAAACAGACAAGACTGTCACAAGGCCCTCTATCAGGGCTACTACTAGAGAAATGGGCCCAGGTGAGGTGGCAGTGCTGGAGGCAATGGATTGTAGATACCATACAAGTCCTGCAGTGTTACTACTAGACTTTGTCAAGTAATCTGTGTCCCCTGCCCTGGATCTCTCTTTGCATCTCCCTACAGCTCTGTGGGGACCTCCTCAGCTAACAGCTAAGGTGCATCCTCACTTTCTTTGGGCTAGTTACCTTCTTTCTAGCAACCAAGCCCTTGAGGCTTGGCACCATAAATACCTTTGGAACAGCACAGGCCCAGCTTTGCTCACGGAAAGTACATCTAGGCTAGACCTCTTTGTGCAGGAGTTCATCAGTGCATTTCTGTCAAATGGGGCCTTCCCTAATTTCTGGGGCACAAACCACCTCCTCCTGTTAAGTCCCTAGGCCAAGTTTCAGGGCACTGTGATGCAGAAAAGCAGTGTTTTGCAAACTAGTCTTATCTTTTAGTCTTCTCATCTTCTCCAGCACAAATGCCAAGCCTTTTGCTAGACAGGCTTCTCCTACCTCCTTCTGCGTGGCTAGGGCTGTCCTCCCAGGGAAGTTCTTGCTGCAGCCAATGGACTGGGGCAGGTGCCGGTTTTTGACAGGTTCCTCTTCAATTCCTCTGCACAAGTCATAAAGCCAGGACCTGAAAGCCACAGAGGAATCGTGAGGTGGAGACAGCCACAGAGAGGCAGGCATCACTGGGCAGCAAGTTGGCCTTCTGCTGAGCCATGCTTCCAGCTCTGTGCAATCCACGACTCTGCCTCATCCCCAGCCCCGCCATTGCAGCCACAGCTGAACAGGCAGGCTTCCTTCAGGCCACAACTGCCTGCCAGTGCAACCCCTCCACCCCTTCCCCTGAACTGGCAACAGTTCACCGGTCTGTAGGGCATCCCAGCTGCTGCTCTGGGCCCAGAAGTAGTGTTTCACGCTTCAGTCCAGCCTTGCAATTCCCTCTGGAATGAGACCGTCAAGCGTGCCTGCTTGCCAGCCTGCATGGAAGCCCTTCCACAGCTTGGCCACATCCTCAGACACTGTAGAGGAGGGCAGAGGAGCTGGCTGACAGTCAAAACATTATCCTGGAGAGGGTGTCCATGAGCAGGTGAGACTGGAAACTGGTTTGTGGGCCTGCCAGACCAATGCTTCTCAAAGATGTCACTGAAGTTTTAATCTCCAACCTTCCTAATCACAGCAGAACAACTTGAGACCAAAAGGAAGCCTCAGATCCTGCCAAGAGCCAAGTCATGGTGAGTGGTTTATCATTACCCAGTTTTGTCTCCAAAGTGAGTCCGGAGCTCTGTCTCACTAAACTGTGTCAGCTGCCCAATGTACTCCACTCCCAGGATGTCCGTGATGGCAGTGCCAAGCTTGCCTCCCAGGTTACGACTATGGCACAGCAACAAAGAAATACAGAGAAAGCAAATGAAGCACCACGTGGAGTTTATGCCAAGTCTTTATGCAGCAGCTGCCCCTAGCTCAGCTGTGCTAGCAGCAGTCAAAAAAAAGCAGGACAAAAGGGGGCACTTGCTGGTAGGTAATAGCTCTTCTGCTCAGAGTAGAAAGATGCAGAGGAACCAAAGTGGGAATGGCTCCTTGGGTCCCCCAGTTTCAATGCCTCTCCCTCAATCCCATCTTCAAAATATGATCCCAAACCATGCTCTGAAGAATGCCTCACATTCCCTGCCTCCTCCTGCACAGGACCCTTCCCCACACACTCCCCCCTCCATCCCTAGCAAGACACTGAAGGCAGAGAGCAGTACTCCAGGTCTGGAGAGCTGGACCAGGGATCCATTCTTCCAGAGTAGCAGCGCTGGTAACTCTTCCCTCCACCAGGAAAAATACTTGTGCAGTGTGGATGCAAACCATGTCTGCTCTCTGGGAGCACAGCTCTGTCACTCACACTGCAGCACAGCTGTGGCCTCCTGACCCCCCAGTTACTCCAGCTTACACCTATGCACCCCAGCAGTCACTGCAAGCACAGGTCCACTCTGGGAAAGCCTGCCCACAGGCATCCTTGTGGGCTCTTTCATTGTGACCCCTTCACTGGCAGGCCGAAGCTCCTCCTGAACTGTTGCACACAGCTGTGAGGGATTACTCACAGGTAGTATTTCCTCTCCCTTTCTTACAAGCATTTGATGAGCAGTTACTGTGGAGTTGAAAGCCTTTGCTGGCTGCTACAGAAGCAAGTCCCACAACAATGAAGACAAACAGCACTTTCATCATGATAAAAGCCTGGATTGCAGAAGCACAGTACCAGCATCTGGAATACACACTCCTGCCACAGAGCAGCGCAGATAGAGCCTCAGGCTGGGCAACAGCAGGCAGCAGCTGCCCAGTACTTACACGCTGCTTACAGGCAGTTGGCTGAAGAACTGCGGAACAAATCGCGAAGATACCAGTGTCTGCCGGTTGGGCTTGTTTAACCCACAGGCCAGTTTTGCCAGTGTCTGTAAGACAGAAAAGGGTGTAAACCCTGCTATTACAAACTTTGCACTGACATTATTGTGCCTCTCTACCTAATGGCTTCTGTTGTATCACCTCTAAGAGCTGCTGGGTGCTCAAAAGCACTTGCTGCTTTCAGACTTTTAGCTCTGCAAAGGCCTGGACTCCTGCTCCAGGCATCTTGGGGGATCATCATCTATCACTCGTTCTGGTTGGCTTAGTTTTCCATCAGGCAGGCATGCTAGAACTTCCTGATCATCCCCATAATCCTCCCCATGCTATTTCTCTCACTATGTCTTACTCCATCTTCTGAGTTTATCTCGCTTTTTGTCAATGCCACTATTTTAATCTTCTCTCTGCGAGGTCCACAGAAGCATAATGCTGCCAAAGGAAATCTGAAAAATACAGAATTAATAGCCTGGAAGGGATGTTTTCTTGCCTACCTCCTATAGAGCTTCCCCTCCCACTGTAATCTACCACAGGATCAAGAATACACTGACCAACTTGAAATACATATAATAAGGTGTTTGGGGCTTTTTAAACAAGTCTAATAATTTCCTCTTTCACTGTTTTATCACACATCCTATAACTAAGCAAAATTTCTTTCCTGCCTGTTGAGCTATGATCTTTATTAACAATCGGTTTTACAGGTTTACATACATTTTCACTCTTTTCTAGACAAAGTGTATCCCCTTCCTTCAATTTTTCATATCCAGTAATTTTCCAGTGTCCAATTACTGTTCTTGTTTCACCAGACTCTCCCAAGTTTACCCACACTGTTCATAAAGTGCCGCAAGCTGAACCAATTACTGAGACTTCATGGGGAGAAATGACTTAATTTTCTGACACCTTCTCTAATCTGCACGTGCTGGAACAGGATTTGCTACAGAAGCATTCATATTACTGACTCATCCTGTTGCTTGTCCACAATAACTCCAGGCTACTTCCTGACATACTGCAACTTAGCCAAAAGCCTGCTGGTTGCCTTTTTCCTACAAACCACAAAAACAGTCAGCAAGGAGCATAAGAAGCACTGCATGGTGATTTCAGACTGTATCTGAGTTTTTCCAAGCCTAGAATTTTCAGCTCCAATTTCATCTGGAACTCTCAGCCCAGGTCCTGAGCCCCATCTGTGCTTCACATCGCCCAGATTCCTACAGCTGTTCCCTAGCTATAGGTTTCAGTGAAAATACTGGCTCAGACAGATTCCCCCTCAGGATCCCATCCTAAACATCCCAGTTTGAGTGCAACTCACTGAACAAAATCATGATGGAAAACGACATTTTTTTTCAGCTGAATGCACATCCTTCAGATAACCTCAGTCGTGTTGTGTTTTGCCACAGGGCCACTATCAGCTCGTACAACTCAGGGTAAGGTGTGTTAAGAAACCTTACAGTCAACACCTCACATCTGCAGTTTCCCCTGTATGTTAAGCCACTTCTGCTGTGAAAGAGGGCAGCTAAATGAGTTTAGCACCTGTGTTTCTGGATAAAACCACACTGTTACCCTCCAGGTGCTTCCAAACAGCTCATTCAAATATTTGGTCTCATTTATCAGCTGGGTTCCTGGTCTACTCTGACAAGTTACCTCAGAAAAGTAGTTACTTAGAAAGAAAAGTCCCTCAGGAGAGTTTTCTTTTAAAAAAGGATGAACTTAAAGCAGGAAACCTCCACCATGAGTTTTAGGCAAGAGCAGCTATTGCAAGAGAATGTTTTTTACTGACACAAATTCCCAGTGACCTGGAGGAGGAAGAACACCAGTTTGGGCCACTGAGGTGACTCAGGTTGCTTTTCCTCTTTCTGGTCAGTCAATCTTCACCCCTGCTGGCTGTGCTCTGGGTGATGCTCAGCCAGGTGCTGCGAGCAGCCACAGGAGCACTTGGGGCATGACAGCAGCTGCAGAAACAAACGGACCTCGATGATGCAGCTCTACAAGAGGGTTTCCTGCTGGGAGAAATGCAGGGTGGGCTACTGACAGCACCTAGCACTCGTTTCAATCTTTGCAGCAAAGGTTTGTACCCACAAGAGCTGAATTGGCTGTGCAAGCACTGTAATGTTCAGCACAGCCACACATAGGCTATGGTAACCTCTGCGTTGTGCTTGCTGGTATAAACAGTGCTTCAGGGACAGCACAGTACAGCATCATTTCCTTACCTCTTAAAAAAAAAAAAAAAAAAGAAGGCTGGCATAGAAAATGGAAGCTGGGAGAAGCTGCTAGGGATAGCGAAGATGTTCTCTGCTATTCTTGATTGAAGAGAGCAGAAAGATAAAATTGAACATCCCTTCTACTGGAAATTTCTGCACCAGTGATCTTCTTCAGATCATTTCTGCCTCACTTTCTGCTCTCGCTTCAAGGTGAGCTGCTGCAGAACTAGCTCCAGTACCTGTGTACAGCCAGTAACTCTTACAGTTGTTTCTGCAGCAGTCTAAGATTACATTTATTCTTCTTTAGGTTCTAATACATCCATTTAGTCAGTATACTTCTCTTTTTTTTTTTTTTTTTTTTGTCAGAACCTCCATTTTTAAAGTCATACCTATACAGATGAGCCTCTTTTGCAAAGACTGAAACAAGTGCAAGTGCTAGGTGTTGTCAGTAACCCATCCTGCAGGAAATCCTCTTTTAGAGCTGCAGCATCAAAGTCCGTTTGTTTCTGCAGCTGCTGTCATGCCCCAAGAGCTCCTGTGGCTGCTCGCAGCAGCTGGCTGAGCATCACCCAGCACATGGCCAGCACACTGACCAGAAAGAGGAAAAGCAACCTGACTCACCTCAGTGCCCCAAACGGGTGTTCCTCCTCCCCCAGGTCACTGGGAATTTGTGCCAGTAAAAGCCATTCTCTGGTTACCATTCCAAAAGCCATTCCACTGTTGCCTAGAACTCAAAGTGGAGGTTTCCTGTAGAAAACTTTCAGGGGGGACTTAAAAACCTTTTCTTCCTGGTGAGCTAACTCATTACGGTGCACCCGGAATCCAGGCAGTAGGTTATTGAGTGCTGACTGCACAGGCCACATCTATGGGAAAAAACCTCTTCCCATTCCCAGATGTCTTCTAATTTCCCTGAAGGTGCTCACTCACACATGGCTGCATTCCCCACTCAGCTCATATTCCGTGGGAAACTTGGAAGAGTGCATGGCAGAGTGCCTGCAGCACATTCTGACTCTGCTGCTCAGAAGGAATCAGGCTGATGTGTCACACACGTACCTTGTTGTGCGAAATCCCAGCCGAACACCTGAACCCAGTGGCTGGTTCAACAGCCAGCCTTATTTCTTCCACAATGACTGCACCCATGGTCAGCTGCAGGTCAGGACAGTCGGGATTATCAAAAGACAGAGAGGCCAGCCACTCCTGAACGCCGCGTTGCCGCAGCTCCTCTAGAAAAGGGACCACAAGAGAATCAAAAAAACGCGGACCCCAGCAAGGGGAGCAGCAGCACTGCCCAGCCAACAGCCACACACTTCTGCACCCGTGTGCCAACTGCAAGGCGGAAAAGAGGGCACTTCAAAAGCCATTCCTTGGGAAAAACGCAGATCCCATTTACCCTGCTCTTGCTTCGGGGGAGATAAAGCAGCCCACCCACCCTCTCCCTCTGCCGACGTACGGGGAGCATCGCTGGGGGAGCAGGAGAGACAGCGCCGGGGGCCCGGGGATGGCAGCACCTTTCTGGCTGCTGTTGCGCGGCCTCAAAGCAAACCCGCTGGAGCCGCCCCGCCC